GAGCCTGATAGGAGACAAAGCTTTATTCACAGGAAATGCTTATAATGCATCAGTATGTCGTGGCATTATTCAGACAGGCAGGACTTTCGGTTTGAATCCAAAGTAAGCTTTACCACTTACTAACTTATATAGACTTATAAAAATTGCTGAACCTCACAATACTTTGGTTTCTCTATTAGAGAAATAGAATAAAAATGATACCCCAGGTGGGGAATAAATGAATTAATACATGTGAGACACTGTCAGTAATTATCATCATCATCATCATTTAAACAACACAGAAGGAATTTGGAAAATACCTTATGTATTATATTTCCACCCACAGTTAAAGCCCTATTTTATTTTTCGTTATTGGTCATGTTCCCCTTCAAAGTGTTGTGGTAAGTTTTGATTTTGAATACAAGTAATTTAAATAGAAGACAATGTAATTTGAACAAATGACCACAATCAAAATAGTGAGGAATGGCTTGGGCGTCTAGTGGAAGCCTATGGTTCTGCTTCTCCTCTTATTGACTTTGGTTTCTTTTTCTTATCTATTCCAATTAGAAGACAGCCACTTACATTCCATTTAAGCTTGGTGATTTGTGATAATATGAGTCCCAATTTCCAAAGGGGGAAAAATAATTAAGAAAAAGCAGAGTCTACTCCTTATGGTGTTCTGTGGCAGGGCTGAGTCTTTCCTCTGGGCTGAGTTTATCAGTCCACAAATCGGCATTACCAGTTATCTCTGAGTCAGTATGTAACACTATTTGCTATTTCCTCCACATCTTTAGTTTAACAGCTAAAGTTCCTGAGAAGCTGGGCTGGAACCCCTACAATCCAGTTTGAGAAGGATGCAAATGGACCCTCTCGGTTATGATCCTAGGTTATTGCAAGATTCTCAACCTTTCTGCTAGATTGCTGAGAAGTCTGATCACAGACTTAGTAATCTTGAACTAGACAGTGTTTATTATTTGATACTTACAGGTACTGTTTTATTTTTCTCCCTTAGATTGAAACCAAGATTTCAATTTCTACCCTGACTGCTGTTGCAACTCCAAGAATTGTAGACCTTGCCCACCCAAGGAGGAAGATAGAGGGTCTGTGCTATGAAAGACAAAAAAGTGAAATGCCCATCCGTCCTGTAAGCCATCACTGCCTGGACATCCTTTGGCTCACTCTCTGGTTGTTCCTAGGGTGCTATTTTGCCTCTACAGGGCATAGCCCAAAGTCATCAGAAAAGAGAATCTTGAAAGAGTGGTCTGTGGCAGGGAGGAAGACCTAGCCACGTGTTATGGAGAGAGGCAGAGGAGTACAAGGCCAAGAGCATGGGTGTTCAAGTCCCAGCCTTGCCACTACTAGCTCTGTGATGTTGGGACGAACTTCCTAAGCCATATGCATTCAACAAGTATTTGAACACCTACTGTGCGCCAGGCACTGATCCCAGTGAACAGCATGGCGCTCCATGCTAATGAGGCGAGACAAACAACAAATAAGTAGATGCATAAGATAATGTCAGATAGTGATAAGTGCCATGAAGAACACAGCACTGAGAAAACAGTGACTATGGGGGCAGCGGCATAGCTACTTTGCATGTGGTAGTCAGGGAAGGCCTCTCTAAGGAAGGAGCGTGTGAGCTGAAACCCCAATGATGAGGAGTTAGCCAAGTGAAGATCTAGGAGGAGAATATTCTAGTAGAGGGAAGAGCACATGTCAAAGTACTAAAGTTGGGATGAGCTTGAAGTTGGGTGGTGCAAGGGGAACAAGGGAATTGTGATCATGGTTCCCATGGGGGTCTCCTGTGGAAGGCCTGGCGCTCAGCACAGGGCCTCACTTCTCTGCCCCCTCTGCCTTGACAAAGAGGCAACCAAGCCAGGACTAAGGAAAGAGGTTTTCAAGCAGAACTAGCAAGTGCAAAGGTCCTGAGACAGAAGGAGCTGGGCCAGGGGGCCTAGTGTGGCTAGGATCATAGTGATCGGGTGTGGAGGGGAAGAAGATGAGGTCAGAGGAGCAGGGCAGCTCTCAGATCATGTAGGGCCTTGCAGATCACAGGAAGGAGCCGAAGAAATATTCTCAGCAAAATGGCAAGCAACAGGAAGGGTTTACAGCCTGGGAGTGACGTGACCCAACTTGGGCTTTAGAAAGTACTTAGCTCATGGAGTTCTGATGATTAAGTGGTATAGACAAATCACTTGGAACACTGTCTGGCTCATGGAACACACTCATCAAATGCTCATTCTCTCCCTCAGTAACTGTCGTGTGAAGGCTTTAGGCACAGGGGCAAGAATGGAAGCACAGAGAACTGTTAGGAGTCTGTTGCAGTAACTCAGGAGAGAAATGGTTGTGACTCACATAGGGATATAGCTGCAGAGATAGGGAGACCTGGTGAAATGTGGGATATATTTTTGTGTATCTTTGTTTTTACTCTAGGTAGCCCCTGCTGCCCTGCAAGCCACTGCTGGCCCCCGAACAGTAGCTCTAGCTGAGGCCAAGCCTCTTCATCAAGATTACCTCCCTGGCCGCGATGCCTACTGGCCAGTGTCTCATGCTGCTACCCATTCCAAAGTGTCGCCCAGAATTGAGGAACTAGCTAATCCCAGTGCAAGGTATGTCAATTTAAGGCTAAAGGAAGACAGCAAGGGCTGAGGTTCTGGGGAGAGCGGGAAAGTTGACCGAATGAGGCCAATGAAAAGAGTTATAGAAATACAAAAAATTTCAAAAACATCTCACCAGTTACATTTACTATGACAAATCTGTGGTCTTTATGTATATACATATATATATACATTTAAGGGTACTGTTCACAGTTTAGTGGACTAGGTATTGAAATTTGGAACTAGGGAATGAAGGCTCAGAGAAGTTACACACATGATCTACGGTCAAATCCAGATCTGCACATCTGTCAGTTTCCAAAGGCCTTTCTCTTTCCACAGAAAGTAAATTCTGGACGTTTCTCAGTTTTGAACTTGAGTTCTAGAATCAGACAGACCTGGGTCTGTGGCCCCCGTGGATCATTTGCTGTAACATAATTTGGCCATGTTAAAAGCTCTAAAAGTATGGATATAGAATTATTTATCTAACATAGATTATTAAGTGAAACAAGTTGTAGGACAGAGCATACACTATCTTGCAGTTTGTGTAAGAAAATATATTATCCGTGCCATATACTCGTGTGCATATGTCTATACCATCTCAGAAGAGTTTATAAGAAGCTGGTAACAATGGTTGCCTTGAGGGCCTAGGGAACTGGCATAGGAGGAAACTGAGTTTTTATATTTTTTTTTACTAATTAAGCTTTCATAT